ACTGAAGACCATCAACTGGAACGTACTGAATAGCAATGTTTCAATAACAAAAGATTGATTAAGTGAACACCTTGTCAGGAGTTGAGATACAATGAACCAATTCCTGCCATGACGGCCAGAATGCTCTATTCGAAAGCACCGATGCGACAAATGCTTCTTCAGCTTTTTCAACCAACTTCAAACTCATCCTCACTTTACCTAACCTGAATACAAAATATGATTAATACAGAATTTTAAAAGGCACTGAAGAACAATAAAGTTAACACAGCGTATTGTATGAATCTATTAATCAACAATAAAAATAAAATCATAACAGTAAATCTCATGTAAACACAATCGAAACGAACACATAAAGGAGGAACGCATCAAAATAATCCGGATTCTTAGCGCCTAAATCGCATAAATCAGCATGCAACGTGTCCATTTCACTGTTATCATATTCACAACGACGATCGATCGCTTCCGATTCACTTTCCAATCGATTCTTTTCGTATGCCTTCAACTCACTTCATTAAATTCACAAATATTACGCAGCTTTAATTCGACAGATTTTAAAATGTAAGAACATTCAATAGGCAGGTGGTCGTACAACTACACTTGAATGCTTCTGAATGCATTGGACACTGTAAATGACAATCAAGAGACTAAGATAGCATCTGAGATGGAAAAAGTCTGATGTTTCAAGTTTCGATAGGGCATTGAATAGCGAGAAATTTCAAAAAACAACACCACTCGACGATTTTCGGTGTGAAGGTTTCATTTATTGGGCAATTGCACGAATCTATTTATCAGAATCGCATCTCTAATTGTTAATTGGATATGTACGATGAGAACGTTTCTTTTTGACTTACAATTAATAGTTAATTGAAAATAAAACACAAACCAAATATCTAGCCCAATAGTACATAAAACGATCAAAATTCGATTCATCTTTGATCGGTTCCAAAAAGAAAACCGCACGATAATGCTCTTCATTTATCAATAATGATCGACCTGAAATGAAACTATGAAGGCGGGCATTTTGGGTGGAAGGCAGGCATTTTGGGTGGAAGGCAGGCATTTTGGGTGCAAAACAGAATCAGCATTTTCAAATGAACAATCGCATCAAGCGAATTACTTAACCATGAAAGTTCATAACAAACTTATACCATACAAAATAGGCATTAAAATGGTGAATAACACGCGCATTTTCCGCGAATAATTTGATCTGGAATGAATTAGCAAGAATCACAGTGGATTTTTTCGGTACACCACATTTGGGCTTAAGCTTAGGAGGAGCTGCCGGAGAACCAGAATTGTTCGTTTGTTCAATAGGTACTTGAGCTTGGTGTGATAGATCCACTTATTCATCACATATAACACCTCAACTGCGGTATGAGCCTCAGGCTAAACCCAAATGTGATGCACTGCGATATCCCGCTTTCATTATCGCCCTTTTCCATATTCGGCGCTAGTATAGTATAGCTGGTGCATTAGATATCTTTAAAAATTAACCGAAGTTAGCACGACAACGAATGTTGTTATCCTGCAGTTTTGATGACTCGGGTGGTAGATTGTTATTCTGCTCTTCCTCTTCTGAAAATGCTTTGTGCCATTCTTTTGGGGCATAAAACAACAGTTCGCTTGACCTGAAAGATAAAAAGGTCAATTTTATTCACCTCCTAAATCGGCCGCTTAGAAATATCAAGCAGGTCAGAGTGCATCCACATCAATCAGATTGATAGGTCTCGTATCAGATAATTACAATTTTTTGTTGAATTTTCTGATAAATGACTGATGAGAAGCGCTTTCGTCTTCAGAGTATTCATGACGAATTGGAGAGATGAACTATATCATTCGATAATGCAGTGATAATATTTAAGACGAAATTCAGTCAGAAAATGTGAATACAGAAGAATTCAACTGCAGTTAGTAACAAACCATTTCAGTGTATCAAAAATACATCGGCGTTCACATTCCGAGTTCAGCCATTGTAAATCACGAATAACCACCGCACCCGAGAAAGACATTTCTGAGGATTGGGCAGCTGAAAGAACCTGACTGATCTACTCGTAACATAAGTATGTTTTGGGATAGGAATAAATAAAAACTTGATTGTTTTATTTATCAAATTCAGCAGTTTATTCAATTATTTGATTAAATCACCGTTCTACTAAACAACTACTGTTTGTGTTGATTCAATTCAAACAAGCGATGAATGTAATGTGCACATAGATGAAAGCTTTGGCAGCTTGCGTCAGCACTTCGGTGAATATTCCCTGGCGCATTTCGACAAAAGATAATTAATTTTTAATAAATGAGTTGGAGGAGGAATGATTTACTTTACGGTGGATTTCAGTGTTATCGGGTGATGATGGGGGTTATTGCTTGGTGTTTAACGAGTGCCATTTAATCGTGGCATTTCGAGATCACTCGACTGCCTTAGAGAACCCTGGAAACGCATCAGAAATATCTGTTTCAGTTATTGCTGCTGATTGTGACGGGTTGAAGCCGAAGGAGTTCAGCAGCAGCAGCGGCGCTCTTAAATATCTTTATCGATGACTTATTTCACGAATTGGGATGAATTCAGTAAGGCGGTTGAGCGGTTATATGCAGCAAGTCCGGCTCGTTGCAGGTTTGTTCCTTACACTCGTATTTACTGTCATAAATCTGTGTGCATGCGTTTTAGAAAATTATTTCGGTTGATGGAATATATTCATGTTCTATGACTGGCACACGAAGTTGTAGAGCAATTTAGAATTGAGTTGTTGGATTATGCTTTGCGATGGTTATTAAGATATATTCGTTAACGGATTGTCTGTGGACAGCAAATTTGCTGAGCATTTTCTTATTTCATATTCCGGCCTATATTCGCATATCAGGAAGGTGTTTCGCCAGTTCGCAGCATTTTTGAAGCGTCAAACCAAGTTATTGCTAAAGAATTTTTCCTCCGTGAAAACTAACGTCCGGTTGAATGCATATTCATAGAAATGACGGCGTTGATTAGATGGTTACCTGCATGCAGTGCTATGCATTTACTGATCTGCTTCCGCTGAAATGAAATACTTTTATGTGAAGATGTTTCAGTTACGATATTGTACCACCAGTAAAATGCACTTTTCAGATTTGTTGTAAAATACGATCATAAAAAAGCGAAAATGATACTGAAAATGACCGACGACGTCGTTTGTGTTCAGTACGGAACTGATCAGCTACAAGACGTGAAAAGATTAGAAAAGTTGACGGCAACGCTGATGAGGAATATTGTTGCAAAGTGATTTAATTTTCGAACATTTTCCACGATTATAATTTTATTAATTTATTTCTTCTTCTCTTCGTGTCATTCATATTGTTCCTGTACTGTTATTTCAATTACTCAGTTCCCGTATTCATATGCGTCTTCACTGGCAATTCGTCAATCCAATTTTAACGTTGATTTTTACCATCTGTGCAAAATTCATCTAAATGAACAGAAATTTATCACCGTTCCGTTTAGCAACTGCTGTGCACTACAAAAAAGTCAGTGATAGAAAATTATTCTATGAAATATATTCGTCATTATTTGTCCCCAAAATGATGTGCCTCCGCCAGGAAATTGATTCCTCTCAAAAAGTTTTCTTCCTCGTTTCGGTGATCCTTGACGTATCCGTCATGACATCGTTATTGTTGAGTAGTTTCAGCAATGGCGATGCTTTGTGTTGTTGATTGTGAGGTGACCACGTTCACATAGTCTAACTGTTCATGTTCATTTGACGAGACCATAATTTTTTGTTTTAAATCGCTTCATATCGTTGAATCTGTTGTTAT